TGTCCAGATGCTGTTAAACATTTACAGTGAAATAAAACACTGTGTAAAACATTAATTTTCCATTTAATAGATTAAAGTGAACTTAAAGTTGGTTTTTATCCCGTGACAGCAACATGCTGCAAGAGTCAACATAACTGATGGTTGATTGGCTGGCTCCTCCCCCTTCAGGCGCATGATGGTGTTTTTCTTTGTGCAGAGAAAATGTTCCTTATTTTACCATCAGCTTTAAAATTAGCAGATATATTCAGATGTGTTTATTTTTCAAGTAATGTAAATGTTCTTTTGTTATTTGCTGGGCAGTTTTGTGGTCTTTGCTTTGCAATGGCATCAAATGTGAAGAGCTTAGAAATATTTGTGTAGCTTATTATTTTTACACAACTTCAGCTTTAAATCAGTTTTGACTGAATCTGTAATCTCAGTGTTTTCCACTCAGTGACTTTTAAGTGTAATTTGCTGCATTTGGTGGATGTTACTATGACGACATGACTTACACTTGTTTCCTCGTCACAAACAGAGAGCGAGTACCGCTTTGCTCGCTGGAAGAAGGCCGTCCAGAAAGCCATGAACTGGGAGACCACAGAGCCCTGCTACAACGGCAGCGGTAGGAAGTGACTTTAGCTGTTAACTGTTTCATTGTTGGAGAATTTCCCCCTCACTCACTCACAATCTCCTCGCTTACTGACAACAGGTTTAGGAAAGAATATGAACGGCGCACCCTGGGGGGTCCATCCCAGCCCTCCCCCCAGCAGAGTGGACCACTAAGGTCCGACATTTGCCGGTGCATCCCGTGCGTGACGCTTGAGTTTCCACTTGGGGCATGTTTACATATTAAAGGCTTTACTAACACGGTGTGTTCACGGCTTTAACCGACGCAGGTGTCCTCACTCGTTAGAAACTAACGTAAAGCGAAACTGTTCTGTTCATATTTATTCTGCTACAGCAGCTTTGCATGATTCTTGGTTCAAAGTAATCCTTCTCTAGCTCATGCTTGGACAACAAGCTGTTTTAGCCCCTCCCCCTTTAAGCCAACTGCCTTCCTACTGGCTGTCCTTATAAGCAGAATGCTTGAACAACAAGTGAGCAGAGCTTCTGATTTTACCATCTCTCTGACATCACAGAGATCAAAGAATAGAAAAAACTGTGTGACACTGAGTGTTTAAAACAGCCTGCATAACATGAAATAAGTTAAAGCAAAATAGGTCAAATTAATGATACTTTTAATCCTTCCTAAAGTTGTAAACAGAATGTGAGGAAACAACGCTACAACTGAATTTCCATAAATCTTTTTCTGTCACGTTAACAGGAAGTACGTGCTACACTGGCTCACTGCACCACCTTGTGGTTCTTAGTGGTATTACATGACAGTACATTTCAATTTCACCTGATATTCTTGCAATACAACACCACAGTCGTCTCGTACGTAATGTCTTAGCGGTTAATTCTTCACATTCTGTTGTTTCTTTATTTGTGTTAGAAGGTTTTAGAGTCTTTGACAAAGTTTTTTTTGTTTT